GCCGAAACAGGGTTTAAAATAAACTTCTCTTATAAAAATAGATCCAAAATCTTATAACTTTAGAATAAATAAAGCTCTATCACTTTCATCTAATTCAGCCTCAACTGGTTTAGTCCTTTTCTTGCCCACTAATTCATCTGAAAAATTAAATAGGGTGAGGGGTGAGCAACCACAGCTCAGTAGGGACATGAAACCTTACCATAGTAGATTGATATAATTAGGTAACATGCAATCACACAGCCAAATATCACATTATTAATAATAATGCATGAATGAATGCTCTTCATCTATTCCCGTTAATTCATATAATTGGACAAGCAGACCTGCACGTCCCATACCATGCTTATACCACTTGGTCCCGAATGCTCGTTTATATGAACTAACACCCATTTCAATCATTCCATAATTCTCATTTTGTTAGTTATCTTGTCTAACTTCCTTTCGCCAGTCCCGAATCACCCAATAAAAACCATGTGCACTGTGGGATCTCTGAGACCTGGTACCTGCAAAGAATTAGACTCAACTACACAAAAGACTATTTCTATTACCCTCTTTTCCATTATTATTTTCTCTACCCAACATCTCCAACTAATTTCCATGACATGATATAATTATGCATTTCACATATCCATATATCTCACAATACGTAAATATCTTATACAAGAACATTATACAATATCACACATAATATAGAGCTGAGCTCACAAAATTTAATTAGATCAATTCCTGTAAAGGCTCCCAAGAAACCCCTACCTTGATTCCAAAGCATTGCTCCAATTTAAGAAAATACAAGCTAAACCCTATACCTCCTCCAAAAACTATATCACAACTAGCCCTCTCTCTCTCTCTCTCTCTCTCCTCTCTCTCTCTCTCTCTCCTCTCTCTCTCCTCTCTCTCTCTCTCTCTCTCGTTTTCTTTGTTTGCACTTGTTGTGCAACTTAATGTCCTATATATATACAAGGAACATGTCGGCAGGAAGTGATTTCCTATTGGATGGTTTATTGGCGGTTGATAAAACTTACTGTCCAAGTAATAGTTATCAATGTAGTTGTAGATAAGGAAGAATGTTTTTGTGACTCTTCCAATCACTCTAATCCTATTCTTATCTTCTTGGTGAGTTGATAGTATATTGATACTTAATAGGTTTTGTACTTTGACACGTTAACAAGAACTATTTTAAAACATATACATATATATATATATATTAGGATAAGTATATATGTAATACACATATTTAATAAGATATATGTATATATATAATAGAATAATATATGTAATAAGATATAAATATTTATTAGTACAGAAAACAATATATATTTAACTATCTATGTTATCAATTTAAATATATAACTAATATGCAGCAAAATATTTATTCTTCATATATATATATATATTTAAAACAGGTCTTCACATACAGTTGCACAGACAATCAAATAAATGCTTTCCAAATTTTCTTGATTGATCAATTGAAATCAAATACAAGTACATTACTCGTTAAAACCATACCGTTAAGTAAACAGAAAAAGAAGGACAAAATGACAGATTGTTGTCCAAACATGCAGTAGCATCACAGACATGTCTAGTTGTAGGCATCAGGGTTGCCCAAAAGGTACTTCTCAACGACCTTGAACAAACCAGAGGCTCTTTCTTTGCCAGCCTTAACATCCTCCTCCTTGATCTCAACATCACCTATTGAGTGGTACTTGCTGGTGTTCTTTATGATGGAACCTCCATCAGCAGATGCCACCAACTTAATCTCATAACAGATTTTCTGAATCTTGTCTGTAATAGAATCTCCTTCAATCAAACTGTAGCTGTACACAAAGTTATCTTTGTCAAGCCGGTCAATCCGGTACTTCACATAGCTGTATTCACTTCCTGTAAAATGAAGATTAATTAGAAATTAAGAGATTACTGCTTTCAGGATTTATGTTAATTAAGCAAACAAGTTAGAAATTAAGAGATTGCTGCTTTCAAGATACATATTAACTAGAAAACCAAGTTAAGTTAGTACAGAGAGAGAGAGAATGGTGGAAAGTAAACAAACCTTCACCAAATCTAATCTTCTTGATGGTTCCAACACCTCCATCTCCTTCAACAATTTCAGCACTTTTAACTGCTTGTGAAGCAATCTTTGGTACCAGGTTGTCAGCATCAAGAACAAGAGCTTTGAACAATCTAGGTGGGGGGATGACAGAGGTGAGCTCAGTTTCATATGTGAACACACCCATGATGATGATTTAGAGTTAAGAAGTTGATGAAAGAAAGAAGTAACCAAATGTTTGGGAAGCAAAGTAAGTGAACTGCTATTGGGAGATCTAGTGTTTGATGTTGGAATGAATGAGCACTGGAGGTTGTATTTATAGGTAAGGAGAAAGGGCATGCTGTGTAAAGTGGCCCTAAAAGATAAAGGAGTTTGGACGAGTTTGGACAAATTTTTTATTTTTCAATGGTTGAAAAAGGAAACTACAGTTTTCGTACATGGTAATTTCCGTGTTCTGGATAAAGCCATTTAGAGATGCAGTATTGTTGACCCAATGCAGCCAAAGTTGAAATATGCAAGTCAAGTCATCCTATTTGAAGTTCTGGAAGTATATACTAGCTGTGACGAACGCACAAAAATATTGGTAAATTTCAAATTTGGAAGTATATAGTAGCTGTGACATGGCAACTCATGTAATCTGCCGTCTCATTTCATTTATTAAATTGGTGAAATGCCCCTTAAAACTTTTACTTAATTTTCAATTTACCCCATATCCTCTTTTTTTATTTTATTTTATTATATATATTTTTAATTTATTTAATTTTTATATATATAAAGAAAGTCAAGGATATGAAATTTATTTTTTCACCAATATCCCCATGCCGTCTAAATCCTAAGCATTTCATCCAATTTTCTGTTAAATCATTAAAAGTCAGTTTGGCATTGCTGTGCTGTGAAAATAATTGTTGTCAGATTTGTTGTGAGAGAAAGCAATTTGGCATTTAGTAAACTTTTTGTTAAAAATCTTGTTGGTACTGATTCCCACATAATCAGAAAATAATTGCTGCATAATCATTAAACCCAGCGCCTCTTCAAAACTAATTCATGCATAATCAGAAAATGAAAGCATCTCATTAGCTGCTTTCCCTTATAGCTTTCTCTCACATCAATTTTTAATAATAAGTGATTTTCTTATAGTTAGCCAAATGGGTTGGGCTTCCCAAAATTTTTTAAAAATAACTTATCACCCCAAATAAGCAATGCCATACTGGCACTAAAAAAAATATTTAGAAAAAGATAACCAAAAAAAAGTATTGGGACCCACTGACCCAAACCTAGCACCCTCATCTTTCCACCCCCACCCCCCCCGGGCGACTCTCCAACCCACCCAACGCCCCCCTCACCCCAGATTTCTTCTCCCCAATTCCCATGACCACCACCTGCAACCCACCATGCATGCACAGAGAGAGAGAGAGAGAGAGAGAGAGAGAGAGAGAGAGAGAGAGAGTATTTCAATTTTTAAAAGTTTTTAATTTTATTTTTCAGTATTTATTTATATTTAACATACGAAATGACCAATTTGCCCTTCTAGTTAATGGAAAATTGGATGAAATGTTGAGGATTTAGACGGCATGGGGTCATTAGTGAAAAAAAAATTCATATACTTAATTTTCTTAAAAAAAGGATGGAGGTTAAATTAAAATTTAGGTACAAGTTCAAGGAGCATTTCACCAGTTTAGCCTATTATATTTATATACATCCGATGCTGATGCATCTAGAGATCAAGGAAGAGCATGTTAAGGCAGGCAAAGAAAGAGCCTCACGTCTGTTTAAGGTCATTGAGAACCATCTCTTGGCTAACCCCTGATGCCTACAACTAATGCTTTTCATGTCAATGTACGTAGCATGTCGGGGAGAGAGAGAGTCTTGCATTTCCAGTCATCACAAAATGATGATGTTTTCTTTTTTCTTTTCTTTCCTTGTGTCTGGCCAAATCAGTACTTGGAGGTCTTTATTTGATTAAAGAGTGAATTTATGTTGTATTTGTTACAGTTCTCAAATAAATGAAATCTTGAATAAATAAATAATAAAAAATCTCCATAGGGTATATTGATTGACAATCTAATCCCCTAATCCCATTACAATCAGGAACTAGTAGATGCCCAAATAAAGTAGACAACTTATTGTCTTTAATGTAAGGTCCTCAGAAGTTGGAGAAATGAGGGAGACATGACATTGATAGGTTTAAGAAGATAAATCAGATGTTTTTTGTTTTATTTATTGTGGAACAATTCAAATACAAAGACACTACTCTTTAATCAGAACTTCAAATGCAAACCAAAGAATGCTCTGGCTTGGTAGAAAGAAAAACAGAAATGAAAGCCAACATTGTTGAATAAACAGAGGAATAAGGACACTTCCATTAATGACTTGTGTTCAGGGGAAAAGGGAAACATCACAAACCAAATCTGGAAAAAGAAAAACTATCAAAGACTGCTGTAGTGTGAGAAAAAGAAAGAATTGAAAGCCACACTGTTTAACAAACAGAGAAAGGAGAGGCCACAAGATTATTTCCCTTGGCATGTAGTATACATCGTCGATGGTTTTAGTTGTAGGCATCAGGGTTGGCCACAAGATAGGTCTCGATAACCTTGAACAAAGCATGGGCCCTTTCTTTGCCAGCCTTAACATGCTCTTCCTTGATCTCAACATCTCCCTTGGTGTGGTAGTTGCTGGTGTTTTTTATGATGGAACCGCCATCTGCAGATGCCACCAACTTAATCTCATAAGAGATTTTCTCAATTTTGTCTGAAAGAGCATCTCCTTCAATCAAACTGTAGCTGTACACAAAGTTATCTTTGTCAAGCGCGTCAACCTGGTGCTTCACGTAGCTGTATTCACTTCCTGTGATTTGAAAATTTGAGAAATTAAGACACTACTGCTTTCGCGATATGTATTAACTAGAAAACCAAGTTAATTGGTAGAGAGAGACAATATTGGTGGAAAGTAAACAAACCTTCCCCAAAGCTAGTCTTCTTGATGGTTCCAACACCTCCATCTCCTTCAACAATTTCAGCACTTTTAACTGCTTGTGGAGCAATCTTTGGGACGAGGTTGTCAGCATCTAGAACAAGGGCTTTGAACAACCTAGGTGGAGCAATGACAGAGGTGAACTCGGTTTCGTATGTGAAGATACCCATGATGATGATGATTTAAGAGGTTAGAAAATGATCAAAGAAAGAATGAATGTGGAGGAAGCTAAAAGAGAATGATTGATATTGGTGTGAGGGAATGTGAGCACCAGAGGGAGTATTTATAGGTTAAGGGTGAAGTGACCCCAATGGATATAAAGTTGTTTGGACAAGTTTTCAGTGGTTGTTTCCCATGTGAATATTTTAGTCAAAGAAAGCCATCTCTACAAGTTGATTTTAAAAATTCCAACTTATTACAATCAGCTGATGTGCTAATTAATTTTCTAATAGAATGTTCTAAAACACATGTCTACGTACACAGTCCATTCTGATTGGCCTCTTTGATGATCAGAATACTACAACACAACTGGTGTGCTGTCTAAAGTCCTTTTTACTTTCATTTTCAAAGTCTATAGTCTTTGATAGACAGCTCAGATTTCACACAGCCTGACCTTCAGCCTCAATCTATAAATAGCACCTCCAGTTCTCACATTTTCCAGCATCAAATCCTTTCACACTTTCATTCTTTCTTTGATCATTTTCTAAGCTCTTAAATCATCATCTTCATCATGGGTGTCTTCACATACGCAGACGAGTCCACCTCAGTCATCCCCCCACCAAGATTGTTCAAAGCCCTTGTTCTTGAAGCTGACACCCTCATCCCCAAGATTGCTCCCCAATCAGTTAAAAGTGCTGAAATTGTTGAAGGAGATGGAGGTGTTGGAACCATCAAGAAGATTAGCTTTGGTGAAGGTTGGTTTCTGCCATTGCCCCTTCTAAGTCAAACTTGTTTGCTTAATTAATAACATAAATCTTGAAAGCATTAATCTCTTAATTTCTAATTATAATCCTCATTTTACAGGAAGTCATTACAGCTATGTGAAGCACCGGATCGACGGGCTTGACAAAGATAACTTTGTGTACAGCTACAGTTTGGTTGAAGGAGACGCTCTTTCAGACAAAGTTGAGAAAATCAGTTATGAGATTAAGTTGGTGGCATCTGCTGATGGAGGTTCCACCATAAAGAGCACCAGCAACTACCACACCAGAGGTGATGTTGAGATCAAGGAAGAGGATGTTAAGGCTGGCAAAGAGAAGGCAACTGGTCTGTTCAAGCTTATTGAGAACTACCTTGTGGCCAACCCAGATGCCTACAACTAAAACCTTAAATGAAATGTACTGAATGTGCTTTCTCTGTCATTATATTGGTGTGGCTTTCATTTTTCCTTTTCTTTTTCTTGTCTATCAAGCCAGAGCTGCTTTGGCTTGCACCTAAGGCTATGATAAATTGTAATTTTTCTATTTGATTTGATTCTAAATAAATAAAGCAAAAATCAGTTGCTGGTCTTTACAAATTTGGTCTGCAGTATCTTTTTTCTTCAAATTCGTGAATTTCAATATTTTTTTTACTAATAAAAATTTACTAATGCAAAGTAAAGATTTGATAAAATTGAAATGATGAGGATGACATGCATAAATCGAGAAATGACCCTTTGGTTTGGTCAAGGTTTTTGAGAAGTACCATTTGGGGCAACCCAGATGCCGACAAGTAAAACTATGATGAGTGTGTATTTTTTTGAATTCAATCTTTATAATTGAAGGAACATCATTTGGTATTTATTTGATTCCGCTGTTTGCATGTCTAAAATGTTGGTCAATCCTCCTCAGTCTGATCATAATTAACCAATCAATCTTAAATTTCAAATCAACGGTCCCGATTTCTTTCTATATATATATATATATATATATATATCCAGCCATTATAAAGTATCAACTAAAGCCAGCCATTTCCAATTTTCCATTGTTTGGAATGGCACTCAGCCTGGTTCCTGATACGCTATCTGTGGCCGCTAATGCCCAGCAAGTTATTAGTGAGAATTGATAAACACAATTAGCTAGCTAGTTGTTGGGCATAGTGGCTGCGGACAACGTAGCAGATATTCACAATATGAAGATTCACGACACTGTTTACGCAGATTCTCAGCCTCATTTTAAAGGATTTCAGTATAAAAAATATGGTTTTTCACATGTTAGTCAAGATATGATTGCACCAGCGTCATGTTGTCAAACATTGTTAGTTTTGAGTTTTTCATTTTGATTAGAGGAAACTTCCATTCAAACAGCCAAAACAATTGACTCTGTCTGATTAAAAAAACAGTTTACTATTAGTTGGTAACAATTACTCAAATGAATGTTTTATGTTTTATTGGGACTGAAATTAAGTACAACATTACTCTTCAATCTTAACTCCAAAAGTACCACAAGCAATTTAAGCCTGACAGCGTGATATGAGTAAGGCCATTAAGGCTTGCTTGGCTCCATGCTTGGCATAATGTTTGGATTGAAATTGATTCGTTGTTAGTTACTAAATTCTTTCGCTCTCCACATTTGGTCCCTTGGCTTCTACGAGTTGATTGGCAACATTGCTTGCATCATCTCCAACACATGTCATTTTAGATTTCTCATATCTTTCGTGAGGGTAATCATGCTGCTGATGCTTTGGCAAATCATGGTGCTTTGAGCTCTGGTTTAATTTGGTGGGATACTGCACCTTCTTTTATTTTGCCTTTTTGTCAGTGAGACTGGCTGGGCATGACTAATTACTGGTTCTCCTAGTTTATTTGTTTACTCTTTCAGAGTTTTGGTCTCTTAGGTTAGCATGTTGTTGTGCATTTTTGTCATTGTCTTTCTCTTCTGCGGGGTTTGGTTCGGTCCCCCCTGTTGTTCTTGTATCTCTTTTTTGTTTCTTATTAATAAATTATGATCAACGGAACGGGCCAGGGGCTTCCGGAGTGTTGGTCCCCTCTTTAAGGGTGGTGGATGTTTGTGCATCTGATAACCGATACTGAGGAGCTAATCTCGCCTAATCCTTTGATTTATTTATACTATGGTGCCACCCCATGTGCCATAATTGATTGTTAGTTGTTGGATATAAATTTCATATACATCATCTATTACGGGTAATTGTTAACTTTTCCTAAACAGTAGCAAATCTTCTGAAGTTAATTAGACTCAAAATAATTAGTGTTTAAAACTGATATGTTTGTTCTTCTCTCAAGGATGAATATATATACTACATACAGAGTAGTTACAAATAGGAAATATGTACAAAATCTCATAATTCTACTCAAATTAGATAATTACAATAAAATATAAATTCTATTCCTAATAGGAACAAATTTTATTCATAATAGGAAAGTTGACTCACACCAACACTCCCCCTCAAGTTGGTGCATAGACATCGGTAATGCCCAACTTGTCAAGTGAGTCTTCAAATCGGCGCTTTGACACGGCATGGGTCAACATATCTGCAAACTACTCTAAAGAAGGCACAAAAGTTATAAAAATTAACTTATGCTCCAGCTTATCCTTAATGAAATGCCGATCAACTTCTACATGCTTAGTTCAATCATGTTGCACCGTGTTTGCCCTAAAACTAAACAAATAGAGATAGAGGTAACTTATAGGTGATGTGATGATTTGGCTTAGAGGACCCTTGATGTGAGCATGCCACACTATGAGATATGATGCTCTATTATGGGCTAAGACAAGAAATAACGGATGAGGTCGAGAGTATTGGTGTGGTACCAACCCAAAACCCTCCGATGGCAAAGTAAGTTTGGGGGATAATTCTCTGTTTTAGCAAGTATTCATAGCGTAAATCAAGCTGAGAGAGCCCTTTGTCTAGGGCAAGGGGTCCTATTTATAGAGCGCATTTGAGATTCTCTTAGTACTTAGTTTAAATGTGGGACTCGTGGGAGTGCCCTCTGAGGTTGACACGAGTTCGCAAGATATTAGTGAGGACTTTTCGAGATCCTTTAGTATAATTGGCATGGAGTACCGATCGTTACTTCTTAGGAGCTTTCGGGACCGCAAGCCGATCAGCGAGTGACGACTATGCCTTGTGATGAATCGGTCACCTATGCCGATTCGCACCTTTAACCGGTCTGTCAGTGAGCCAGAGTGTTTTCAACTCCGTACTCTTTCCACGTGTCATGAGGTGAGTGGTAGGGTCAACTATGGTACAAACACATCTGATTGATAAAAATTTCAAATGCAGACTGATTATCACAGTGGAGCTTTGTAGCAGCATTCAGTCTAAACCCAATTTCAGCAAGTAACCACCTCAGCCACAGTATTTCACAAACCCCTTAGGCAATCCCTCTGTACTTAGACTCTGCGGAGGACCGAGACACAACTTTTTGCTTCTTGCTACGCCATGTAACTAGGTTATCACCAACAAAGGTCAAGTAACTTGATGTAGAACGTCTATATGTAATATTCCCTGCATAATCTATGTCAGTGTAACCTTCTAGATCCAAGTGACCATTTTACTTAAATAATAAACCTCTCCCAGGAGTAGACTTTAAGTAACTCAGAATATGCATCACAGCAGTCATATGATCCTCACTAGGTGAATGCATAAATTGGCTAGCAACGCTTACAACATAGGCAATATCAGGGCGTGTCAATAATAAATAAATCAATCTCCAAACCAACTTTTGGTATCTTTCTCTGTTAGTTGGGACCTAATCCACATAAACACCAAGTTTATGATTCTTAACAATAGGTGTATTAGCTGATTTACAGTCAAACATTCAAGTATCTGCTAGCAGGTCCATGACATACTTTCTTTGTGAGAGAAATAAGCCATGTTTAGATCGAGTGACTTCCACTCATAGAAAATGTTTCAGATTGCCCAAATCTTTCATCTCAAATTCAAATGCTAAACGTTTCTGCAGTCCCTCGATTTCTACAATATCATCACTAGTCACAATCATATCATCAACATAAATAATCAACAAACTCACCTTACCAGCCCTATGTTTAATGAATATAGTATGATCAGTATTGGCTTGTTGGTAACCAAACTTCTTCATAGCTGTGGTAAATCTGCCAAACCATGCTCGAGGAGACTGCTTTAACCTGTACAATGCCTTTTTCAATTTGCACACGTTCCCCATTTCATCGGTAACCCTATACCCTGGTGGAAGACTCATGTACACTTCAACTTCTAGTTCACCATGTAAGAATGCATTTTTTACATCAAATTGCCTCAGGGTCCAATCCAAGTTTACTGTTAAGGACAACAAAACTCTGATAGTATTCATTTTAGTCACAAGTTCAAAAGTATCATGACAATCAACTCCATATGTCTGAGTGAACCATTTAGCTACTAATCTTGCCTTGTACCTCTCCACAGTACGATATGCAGTATATTTAACTGTAAACACCCATCTGCATCCTATAAGCTTCGTTCCCTTTGGTAGATCAACAATGTCCCATGTATTATTTTTTTGCAACGCCTCCATTTCAATATTCATGGCTTCAGCCCACTTTGGATCATTAAATGCCTCTTCAACACGAGTTGAAATTTTAATATTATCCATTCTGGTCACAAACGTTTTGCACTCATGAGATAACCTGTGATCAGACACATAATGGGCAATAGCATATCTCGCTTTGCCTTTTGGTAAGTAACGATCAGGTGGAACCCCACGGTTCCATCTAAGCGGTAAAACATAATAATTATCATAAGTATGAATAGAAGCACTTACCTCAGGAATATCTATGGGAGCTTGATCAGGTACTATTAGAGAAGCTTCATGGGGGACAATTGGTTCAGTGACAATAGTGACATCAGTTAAAATAGCAGGTTCAACTAGTGTAGCAGGTTCGGCCTCTGTAGCAGGTTCAGCAAGTTCAGTCGGTTCTTCCCTTTGTATCAAACTATCCAATACTACTCCCCCTTGTAAATCTAGCCAATTATGTCATTCACTACTAGTCTCCTCCTGAAGGACATGCTCGGGTGTATCAGAGAAGAACATTTCATCTTCAATAAAGGTAACATCCATAGAGACATATAAACGTCGGGTTGCAAAATGATAGCTGTAGGGGTCTTTTTATTCCAGTAGCCTGACGAATGGGCTTGGGCAGCTGTGAGAAGAAAACGAACAAAATTCCCCTAGGACCTGAGTTCAAGAGCCAGGCTCCCAAAAGAGTTTTTGAAGAGTTCGATGAAACTTTAGAAAAACACTCTTAGGTTCTTTTCACCACTAGCCAAATAAACATAACAAATTGATGAGTGACTTGGCTTGAGAAGCTTGTGGCATGGGAGCTAAGCTTTCACAAGTTTAGCAATTTCATAGAGAGAAAAACATGAGTTTCTTACAGAGAACAAAGATTTCCAGTGGGGCAGAGGAAAATTAGGAAGATTTCTATCTTAGAGAAAGAAGAAAAACAACTGAAGAAAAAGATTGGGTGGCTTAAGTAAATTCCTAGTTGCTTGACAAAGCTTGGTCAGGCTCTGGATGATGATCTAACTGGGTAGGGGAAGCTCCCTTTTATAGGCACAATAATTTTATCTAACCTCTTTCTCTCTTTTTCATTGCTTCTTCCCACTCGATCCTATTTGGTGAAATTTTCCTATCCAAGGCGTATGGGTAAGGAGCCCTTTGGGGTTCCAAGGGTTTTGTGTGGCTGGAACTCCCCATGAGGGTGAGGCGCCACCTACATTCTTTCTTGGTTTTCAAAATAGAGCTTACAGTGGAAAAGAATAGGGGTAGAGTCTACATTCATGGATTTCCTTCGGTCCCTACCATGGCTCTTCATTGACCATCTTGGAGTTTTGACAAGGGTGAAACACGATGCCAGATTTTTCACAAGTCGCTGGATTGGGCTTGTATGTACAATATTGAGTTATTAGCATATTATTTCCAGCGTCTAATGGGTTTTTGTCAAGCTGCTGGAAATAGCTTATTTAATTTGGGGCATTTTATTGATGTGGGCTTGTCTAAGTGTTATAGTAGACTACTAGATATCTTCCTAAGGCATTGGATCACTTTTTTCCTTTCTCTCATGCTAACCCATGTGTTTGGGCCTAAGGAACGGGCTAGAGTTTTAGTGCTTCCAAGTGACCTAAAACTTTTGTTCCTCGAACCCTCAATGGGCCCTGTGATTGCTTGTTCCCTTCCATACCACAACCTTCTCAACAAGCACCGGGTAATTACTTGGCTTGGGCCCACTTAAGCTTGTAGCATGACTTGGTATTAGAATGACATCGCATGTTTATTTAACATGCTTGTGCTTGGGTTTTATTGTACCGCAATAAGCTACGAGCCGGTCAAGTAGTATTGGATAGGTTGGTGAATCGTGAATTTTTAAAACCGGTGCATTTTTTGTCATTTTGTGCATGCTTGCTTGGCATGACGCATGGTCCACGGCTTATATAGATGCATCCCACGATTTCTCTTACGTCCCAATTGGGTTCCTTTTGCGATCAATTTACTTGTACTGGGCTAGGAATAAACCTGGGCCTAGTCCTTGGATTTTTGGGCCTTAACAATAGCATCGGTAGCCTTTCTAATGAGAAGAGAAACCCAGAAAGACACAACGGAGAGCACATGGGTCTAGCTTACTCCTATGATTCTGATGAAGGTGAACATAGACGACACAACAAAACACCTTTGGAGACAGCGTCAACATAGAAGAGGCAGAGATATGATGGGTCAGTACCTGCATAGGAGTTTGGAAATCTAAAACTCATGAAGGTAGACAATTCAAGAGATAGACTGCATAAGTAACAGCATCCATTCAGAACCGCTTTGGAACTGACACACCAAGCAATTAAGCACAGGCAGCAGCAAGGATCTGCCCATTTTTACGTTTAGCAACCCCATTCTGTTGTGGTGTTTGAGGGCAAGTAGTCTCATGGAGTACACCCTTAGTGTTAAAAAAATGGGATAACGCCAAATTAACAAATTCTCCACCATTGTCAGATCGAAAAACCTTGACTCTTTGCTAAACCGGGTAAGGTTCCCAAACATCAGAATGAACTAAACCAAATGGCATAAGCCGTTTATTATAACTTGGAGGGTAGGATACCCGATGACTCAATGCTAAAATACAAGTCTGACATTGGAAAGCAGACTCGTTGACACCACTAAATAATGCAAGAAACAAATGCCATAAATATCCAAAGGAGGCATGACCAAATCGGTAATGTAGCAACCAAATTCGGCGATGCTGAGAAGTTTCGGCGCTACCAGCACGAAGAACCCGACTAGTTGCCACATCATCCACATAATAAAGCTCCCTTTTTTAGTACCACGACCAAATATCTCCCGGGTTTGGATATCCTGTAGTAAGACAAAAGACGGATACATCAGTACAACGCAGTTAACTGCTCAATAACTTGCGGTACAGATAATAAATTACTAGACAAAGATGGAACCAGTAACACTTTGTCCAATGGTAAAGCAGGTGTCAAGAGTATAGAACCACCCCCCGTGACAGGAGCAGCAACATTATTAGTAGTCAGAACATGATCACAATGAGGCGGAAAAGTAGTAAAGAATAAAGTAGAATTATACGTCATATGGTTAGTAGCTCCTAAATCAATAATCCAACATGTATCTCGGGTATCATGGACATGGAAAGCCTTGCCAAAGTTACATGAAGGCGGAGGTGTTGGAGTGCTTGAGACGGTGGTCAAAGTCGGAGGATGAGTAGCAGTAAGGTGGGCGTGCCTAGTGGTGATGTCAGCCACAGAAGTGGGGGCAACAACCACATGAGCTTTTCTATCTAGTTGTTCCTTTTTTAAACATCTCCGCTCCTTCTCCCAATTTGGTACCCCATGCAATGCCCAGCAGGTGTCGATAGTGTGTCTCTTTTCACCACAGTGATCACACTTCAGTTTGTCTTTTTCTGTAGAAGTCAGGCGACGAGGCGGAATAGCAGAAGATCTAGACCTTGTACGCTGAGAAACCAAAGCAGTGTTTTTAGAAGCAAACACAACAGCAGGTTCCCCAATCTTGGTACCGGATCCAAGCATAGTAATCTGGCGTTGAGCCTCTCGATGAACCATAAAAAATACATTTTCGATACTTGGAACTTTATCACTTCGTAGAATATCATTGTGGACCTTGTCATAAGTATCGTCAAGGCCAACCAAAAAATCATACACACGATCTGCCATAACAGCAGCCTGAAAAGTCTTCATATCATCAGCACACTTCATCTGAAAAAGACGTCTCTTGTCCAATTCAAGCCAGATTGCCTTAAGTTCGGAAAAATATGTAGAGACATGACGACCCTCTTGCTTGAGACGAGTAGCCTGGCACCGCAGTTCATAGAGCTAGGATATGTTAGAGCCATCATAAAACATTTGATTAACAACATCCCAAATTTCCTTAGCAGTAGGTAGAGTATGAAACATATTCAACAAACTGGGTTCCATAGTTCGCAGCATCCAACTTTTCACAACAGCATTAGCAATTTTCCACTTCCCAAATTTCGGGTCTTTGGAATCAGGGGCATTAGTGTCGCCAGTCAGGTAACCCAATTTGCCTTGTGTAGTAGCATAAAGTTCGATCATCGAAGCCCATATCTCATAGTTGGATCCATTCAATTTGAATCCCATAGGTAAGTTGGTGGACGATTCGGTATGAATCGTCACAATAAGAGTAGAAGAAGAAGAGTCAGTGACATTTGACATGGTGATAGATAGCAGCAGCTGCAAAAGATTAGGTGACGATGACGACAGTAAGAGATATAAGACAGCACATGCTTAGGTGTATAGGCTAGGTGTAGTGGAAATAGGTATTTTTAGGATTAGGGTTTTGATGTTGTAGAGACGGATCGGAACCCGCTTTGATACCAACTCAAAATAATTAGGGTTTAAAACTGATATGTTTATTCTTCTCTCAAAGAGGAATATATATACTACATACAGAGTGATTACAAATAGGAAATATGTACAAAATCTCCTAATTCTACTCAAATGAGATAATTACAATAAAGTATAAATTCTATTCCTAATAGGAATGTTGACTCACGCCAACAATTCTTACACTAGCTGAAATCAAATGGGACGGTGCCCAATGCTGATAAAAAGTTGGAGGCAGGAACTTTCTAAAGAAGTAAATTCCAAATTTCACAATATGATTGTCCCTACCGCACAAATAGTATGCACTTCTAGAACTTCAAATTAGGATGACTTGACTTGCATTTCAACATGGGCTGCCCATCATTTTCATTTGCATTTCAAGAGTCCCACATATGGAAACACCAAGAGACATCCACATTACATTGTATGGTCAGATATCATCTAGTCTTAATTGCTACAGCTCAAGTGGGTTTCGAATTTCAATTTCTTATTGAAAAGCATTCTCATTTCTTTGAAAACTTCCTCTCTTGGGTTCTCATACATATGAAATCACAGACACTGTCAATTTGTTACAATGTGAGAAAATATAGTCGTCCAAAGCACTCATTGAATGCACATGGAAATTTTTAACTTGTATTCAAACATTTGGAAAGAAATAATTTGCAGATGGTCCTTCCCTTGACTAAATTACAAAATTCATTGTACAAAAGTAATAGCTTCCACGTCACAATGAATACAACCAATTAAACAATTACCAACTTGCATAAACCTTTTGATCACTTGGTTCCTATAAATACCAAACCTCCTCCTCTCTTCTTCACAACCCAAAATCTCCCATTTGTATCATCTTTCTTAGTCTGCCCTCTTTATCAATTACTTTTTTTTTCCTCACTTTCCACACACATTTTACACAATCATGGGTGTGTTCACATACGAAACCGAGATCAACTCTGTCATCCCCCCTGCTAGGTTGTTCAAAGCCTTTGTTCTTGATGGTGACAACCTCGTCCCAAAAATTGCACCACAGGCAGTTAAGAGCACTGAGATCCTTGAAGGAGATGGAGGCGTTGGAACCATCAAGAAAATTAACTTTGGTGAAGGTAAGTTTAGAATTTTTTTTTCTGGTTTGTTATTTTAACGTTACAGAAATATTGTTTTGGGGTCATCTTATCTCATAACAGAAAGATTCATCTGGTATATATGTATATATTTGTGCAGGTAGCACTTACAGCTATGTGAAGCACAGAATTGATGGGATTGACAAAGAGAACTTCGTGTACCAGTACAGTGTGATCGAAGGAGATGCAATCTCTGAGACAATTGAGAAGATCTCCTATGAGACTAAGTTGGTGGCATCTGGCAGTGGTTCTGTCGTCAAAAGCACCAGCCACTACCACACCAAGGGAGATTTTGAGATCAAGGAAGAGCATGTCAAGGCTGGCAAAGAGAAGGCCTCTCATCTCTTCAAGCTCATTGAGAACTACCTCTTGGAACACCATGATGCCTACAACTAAATATTCATAGCTTTATTACTTGGTGATATTCAATCTTATGTCCTCTTTGATATCAAATAATGGTGTGGTTTTTTTTCTTTCTTCTTCTTCATTTATTTCCAAAACCGTGTTTGGCTTGTGCTTGGAGCTGTGGTTTGAAGAGTGATTAATACTATATTTTCTTTCGTTTCCAATGAATAAAATGAAAATCATGGATATATGATGATATTTGCAAAGCTCTTTTCTTGTAACATTGTAATGCATAATGTCAACATATCATATTTGAAATGGCTTGTGTCAATTACCAACGATCATAATAATTGGAATAACAATCGGACCTCATATGCGACATAATACGATCAATTAATGGGATGAAAGAATATCATTTCGTTTTTTCCTTAAACCATTTGAGAATTCATACTATAAATACCGATGCCCCATGCAAGGGATTATGTAGCTTAAGTGGTTAAGAGCATTGTGCACAAGATCCTAGATTCAATTCCCCCTGCCCTATTATAGCTTGTATAAAAAATTAAAAAAATTAATACCGATAACCCATGATGTTGATATCAAACTTAGATAATGATCAAACATAGAATGAAATGTGGAGGAAGACTAAGAGAATTGATAGATTAAGGGGTGAAAGGTATGTTATGTAAACTGCAACACAAATTTATAATTGTTCGTTGGATGTCGCCCTTGTGAACAGGAAGCAGTCTGTATCAATGGATATGGAGCTCCAAGTCGAAGTGATTGAACCTGCAAAACATAATTGGCAAAGGAAAGGTAAAACTTTTCACTATCCAGGGAAAGTAGAAGAGACGAAAAAAGTAATCTTATTTAGAGTATGAGGCACAGCCTACCTCAACACATCATGGTAAGTAAGAGAGCTATTGCATATGGCTTCTGAATATATATGTATATTTAAACAGTATAGCCGCCCGGCTGTACCTAAAAAAAATTCGAATATATTTAAAGAGCATAGCCGCTCGGCTATACGTTTAAAATATTCGAAAAAATTTAAATAGTATAGCCGCACGGCTATAGTCTTTGAAATGACTTTTACAGGCCTACGATTGAGGCCAACTCGAAGCCACGATTGAGGCCAACTCGAAGCCGCGCGGCACCCTGTTCTTGATCTCACGATCGACGGCGCCGATGTGCTGGCTGTGGAGCTGTTGTTTATTGGTCTGTTTCTCACCTTGTATGACTTTTTTGGGATTTCGAATTCGATTGGCTGTGCTTTGAAAGCAAATAGAAATTCATAAGCATGCTGCAAAACAAGTATTGCTCCAGTTTTAAAAATACAAGTGCAGCTATTCTTGATTTTGTGATGGCTTCTGATATTTAGCTATGTTTTTAGCTTTCATGTAAGAGATCAACGATTGGGTTAGTCTTAATTTGTGCAGAAATGGTGTGTGATGAAGGGAGAAATTGAGTAAAAATGTCTGTTGGCTTGGGTCTGGGTCTTGGTTTACAGGTTGGGTGTACGGTCTGTTGGCAAAGCCTGTCGGGGGTTGGGTGGGGGAGGAATCGGAGAGAGAGACAGAGCAGAGGGGGCTCCGCGGCCGGGGGGAAAGGGGGGTTGGTGTTGGTGGGAGGAGCGTGTGGCAAGGGGCTGAGCTTTATATATATATCCGATGCTTTCATCAAACAAGCGTGCCACTTTGTGAGCACGAGTCTTAATTTTTTCCACCTATTTGATAATGCTTGTATTGTTCAAACATCTTCAAAAGGTGATGAACAAATGTTTAGGTTTTTATAGAGTTGTGAGGAAAAAAAAGAGAGAAAAAAAGGCTAAAGAGTCGTTGGAAGTGCAAAAACGGGTATTAATCCCCTCTTTTGGGTGTGGGGACATCTTGTTGTATTTATCAAAAAAATATATTTCATATATGACACGTGTACGTTGATAAGCATTTAGAGCAAGTCCACCCTTGCTTCAAAACCGGGCAAAAGGCAGCCCAAGGGGGAAGGAAGCAGCTCCAACGTGCAAGGGCCAGCCCTGACAAGAGCTGGGTCCCACGAGCCCAGGCAAGCCCACGGGCAAATTCAGCTCGAGCTGCTACTAGGGCAAACTGATGCAGTGCTAACGTCATAATGACGTCAGCAACCCAAAAAAAAAGGGAAAAAATACCAAAAATTCCAAAAAAATTTTAAATACATACCTAGACATATTCTTTACTTCCCACACAAAAAACTATATACAAATTCATCTCCTCATATCTCATATGAATAGTATTTGCCTTAGACTTGCCCTAGACTTAGCTCTCATGGGTGGAACTACAAATGCAAAGGCTGACACTATTCACGTGAATAGTGGCAGCCCTTGCTTGCCCTTGCCTTAGATTTAGCCCTTGTGGGTGGAAGTGCTCTTAATAAGATTTCTCATAAGATTTTGTGTCCATGTGACACGTCTTATCTTGAAAGAATCTTAATAATTTTTTGGATATTATTTTCGAGTGACATGTGTCGATCCAGGACATTTTTCAAACAGTGTGAATAACATTTTTCGAAGAGAATAAATTTGTAGGAAATTTTTGGATGAAATGAGTATGAAAAATATTTTTTTGAGGACATTTCCTATTGAGAGGGGCGATAGCATACTAAACTTACACACACTACACGGATGCTAGGACTTGAATCCAAGACCTCGTCTGACAGAGTAAATACTCCAAACCACTACACTAGTGAGTCCTTTGCGAGTATGGAAAATATTTGACAAAAAAAAAGTGTGGAAAGTTGTGAATAAGTAGAGAATGTGATAGCATTTGTAAGAAATGTGGAATTAAATGAGTGGGAAATTTTTTGAAGTATTTATAGACATATTTTAGGTTTTAAAAAAAATAAATTGGGCCCTCTAAATGTGGCCAAATTTTTTTTAGCCCATGGCTGAAGATAGCCTTATCTTGCCTTATGTCAAAATGAATTGGGCCAAACACATGCATTAGAAAGTGTCTGTTTTCTTCTGAGGCCAGATCAGTCCCATTAAACATGCTCTAAGAACTTCATGAGCTGTTAAAAGTCTCTCAACTGGTGCTCAAGGTCACAGTTTTTCTTTGGGGTGCTTATACTTTTGTGGCTGAATTTTTTTCTTTCCTGTTTTGTTTATCTAATTTTGGGTTTCAAGACCTCGTTTTCAACTGGCAGTCAACACTGGATTCAGTGGTATGATCAAATAAACCGTACAATATTAACAATGATTAATAGTTCAAAGTTCAAGCCAACATTTGCAAGTTACAGAATTGAGTACCAGATCAACTTTCAACCTTCAATATTTCATATAAAATACAACAATTCAATCTTTTAATGTGGTTTCAACTGGAACATATTGACTTT